TGCAGAGGTAATGCTTTATACTCGCACCGAGCCTTTTATCCCAGTGCGAATCACCAGGCACAACATGCAGTGGCAGAGAAACGCCACTGCCCTGGGGCAGGGCTTTGCAGACCAGAGAGCAGAGCAACTGATGGGCAAGGAAACAAAAAAACTTACTACCTTTAAGCTTCTCTGAAGAAACTTCAGTGCTTACTGTGGCAGGAGTTGCTCATTTGCAGCTCTTGGGTGTGCGAAGAGAGAAGAATGGGCTTTGTTGTTCCCTGCTCAGTACTTCTTGTTTGGGATCTCATCAGAAATCCCTCCCCAAAAGACCCTTCTCGTTTATTTATGGCTTTCCACGTTTTCATTCTGGGAAGGATGTGAAAATGAAATGAGCAGTAAAATCAAATGTGCTGCAAACCACCCAGAGGTGGGTCCGGATCTCCTGTGTGGGGGGAGCTTGTAGGTTATCCGAATGTGTTGGTGCACCCGTTGTTTGGAAGAATGGATGGAGCCAGTCAGCATGGTCATGTTCCTCAGGGTAGTGCAAGGGATGGAGGAGGCCTGTGCCATTTCAGTAGACAGCTTAGATAAAACCAAGCTATGTTCATCTCAAATACTAGGGAGAACAGTCTTCTAAAACAGCGCTGGCCTCTTAGCTCATTTATCCCTGTTGTGGCCGGCTAGGACGGATTTCTTCAAGTGATAAAGAGAACACAAGCAGGGAGGCAGCTAACTGTGCTACTATGTCCTCAAAAAGGAGCCAGCTGCAAGTTACGGCACTTGCTGCTGTTGCCAGCCAAATATCATCAAAATGGCGGTGCCTGAGACACGGCATGTGCCTCGGGTCTGAGCTGCAAGGTTCCTGGGGAACGTGGGGAGCTGCTCATGCTTCAAAGGAGGGGATTTGGTTGAGGTTATATGTTCCTTTCCCTGTACCTTAAAGGCTTTATCACAAAAACCTTGCTAATTGTCTTCCATGAACAGCAATTCACAGAAAGCGCTGTCTGTGTGTAACGTGGCTAAATTAAAACAGATTAAAAACACTTCGTGAGTTTGTTAAAAGAAGGAGGGATGGCAGTGCCAGAGGTTCAAACAAATGCCTCTAAGTTACGCGACACCCAGCAGCCCAGTTTTCCTTCAGCCTGCAGCAACGTGAGAGCCCGATGATGCTCCCTGCTTCGTCCCCGGCGTGTCCCAGCGGGATCAACAAGCTGCCGCGTTGAAAATGCAGAAGTGAGCCTTGAGCATTCAGGAAACCCTGTGTCTACCCTTGGACAGTGAGTTGTTTCTTTTTGCGGGCAGCCTTCTCTCTAGATTTCTGGGCACCCACACTGAGTCCTCAGTGTTTTCCACGCTGTAGATAACTCCAAGCTCTCGCTACGTTTCCTCTGGGTTTATTGGAGAGGGCCAGCACAAAGGGGGAGCACGGCAGCACTGCTGAGCGAGTGTTGTCTGCTCATTTAATTATCATTTAATTAGCTAGTAGAGGTGCAAAGTCTGCTCTGGAACGGTCTTCTGTTCCTTTCCCCGTCACCCATCCAAATATCATACCCCACCATTTTGAATGTGACATCTTTGGAGCAGGGACTGAGATACCCGACCAGCAGCTAGGATTACATGCTTTCATTCTCATGGTAGCTTCTGGGAGTTACTGCACTAGGGGGAATTTTCTTTTTTTTTCTTTTTTTTCTCTTTTTTTTTTTTTTTTTTTTTTAATGCACTATCCTTCAGCCCCATTTGCTTCTGAGCAAGTCCCAACTGTACATTTGTCACCTGTGTTGGCCTCTCTGGGGTCAACCCTTGCAACCAGAAGAGATGCCAGTGTTGCTTGAACAGCTGGGTGGTAGAGTTTGGGCAACAGCTGCGCCCCCAGGTCAGCTCCTCTTTAGGGGTGGAAAATCCTGAGCCTCTACAGTGTGAGCAGTAGCTCAGGCAGGTGTGTTACCTGGCAGGGGTGAGCAGACCCATAAGCTCCCATACATGATCTTGCCGTTAGAGAGAGACAAAGACTTGCACTGCATTATCGTGTGGTCCTCTCACCACCTAATGAAAGCCTAAAGTCCCATTGTCCCCACAAATTCCCCAAAGCTGATTCACCACTTGAATTAAACCATAATTATATATTATCAGCAGTCACTTTATAGTAAGGTTGAAGGATTAAATGCAGTTAGTGGTGATGAATTCCAGACGCGCAGGACAGAAGCCTGAAGAGAAGGCCAGCTTCTGAGTAACTACAAGATAGAGTGTAATGTATTCTAAATATTTGATTCAATTAAGCTTCCTTCTGCTCTTTGTTTCAGCTTACAGATGGCTCATCAATCTATAGTTTAGGGACACATTGCTATTCTTTCTAATGGTAATTACGTGATCAGGATGGAGACAGGTTTGATTAAATGCTCACACTATGCTCTGCATATTTAAAATGGAGCAGAGTCCAAAGCAGAGGCAAAACGCCAGCCTGCTGCATGCGGCTTCAGCCTCAGGCACTCGATAGGTCTTCCTCCAGGAAGGTCCCCATCCCATAGGTGACAGGGACTTTGCCAGTTCTCACCATTCAAGGAACAGGAGTTTTTGAATTCATGAACTGTGATTGTTTGTATCTGATTTTGAATGTTGCTAAACAGTTATTTGACAGTTTCTTGCAAAAATACTCACGGTGCTTGCCCATTTTTGGCTCAGTTTTACTGAGAGGATTCTTGCAACGTGGACATTAGCAGCAAAACAGTTACAGAGTCTGTGATCAATCTCCTAGTGACTTCTGCATGTTTGGGAAAGGCCATCATAGTACTTCTAGGCCAGGGTGTGTATTCTTAACAGCTTGTAGCTTGCTCGTGATTATCAGCCTACAGCCTCTGAAAGCAGGAATAGTTGAGAGGATGTCCCAGGTGTTAAGGTGTCCCATTTTGTGTTTGTAACCCTTACAATTTTTCGTTATCTACTTAAAAAGTAAAATTGTAATGTAGAACGTGGCCAGAAGCTTTGCACGCAAACTTATAATGATCATCCTGTATATTCCTTTAGCCGCTCTATCTGAGAGCTATTACAGTCATTAAGACTTTGGTAAGGTGTTACTTCTTTTATGCAGGTAAGAAAATTGAGGCCCACAGAGGTTTAAAGCTCTGAGGGTAAAACTGTACCCAGAAAAAGAAATTGGGCAAGCTTTATGCCCTATTGAAAATCTCATTTAAGGGCCATATGCACCTTGTCCTGGCCTTCTCCCAGGCATGGATTTTGCTTTACAGCAGCCAGTCCTCAATTCAGCAAAGTACTTAAGCACATCCTGACATGCTCTGCTGAATCAGGGTTTTAAGTGGAAGTGACAGAAATAGAATTGAGATCTCCTCACGTATAGCCCCACTCTGGAACCATCAGGCAACGCTTCCTTTCTTCATTACTCTCCCACTGCAGTGTACTACGTCTGAGACAGGGAAGACCTGTGCCCTCAACGTCTGCCCTGTATCAGAATGCAAGCCACCCAGTTGAAATTTCAAAAATAAGAGCTGAGTAGCCAGTTCTAACAATTTTGAGACTTGAAATCTTTGTCCCCAAGGCCTTGAGTTATTCAAGTGCATTATTTAAGAAAATGGAAGGATTCTCTTAGCTCTGATACAGCTTCCCTACAGAAGGCCAACAAATCTAAAGTGACTCTTTTCCTCAATATACGTATGACACCCTTCCAGTGTTATCAGTCCCCCAAAACAGTAGCCTGTGGAGCTTTTGTCTGTAAAATGCTAGTTTTAGTTTCTTGTTTAATTAGGTTTTCTCTGTAATAAGAATTTCAGGCTGAAATAAAAAGCCCTAAAAATTAGTTATTCCTATTTGTAGTTCACCATGGAAAGAAGTCACTAGTTGGATTCTTATTCTTTAGCTCGAACAGAATATGCCTCCTGCCCCTTTAAGTCTCTTTCATTGGTCCCAGGTAAGGTGAACTTTTTCAGGAAACTACTGTTTCTTTATCAAAAATTTTATAGAATGCATCAGGATGAAACAAGAGTAATGGATGACAACAGCAAATGAAGTTAACTAGGAGTTAAGAATACTGTGGGAAAAATACTAAAGCATGGAAAAAGCATCATTTTGTTACATGCTGCCTAGGGAAGGGTATCTCTGCTTGCAGTAATTATTTGAATAGCCAGTTAACAGCTGTATTGCATCCTCATACAATCATCATTTTCCTTCTGTAGACTTGCCACCAATGCTCTGTGCTTGCAACTTTCTAGGAAACCAGCACCTAGCAAGTTGCTTCTTTGGTGAGCAGGTGGGAGGGAGAGGGGAAGGAGGAAGAATTGTTTTGGTTTTCTTCTTGCCCATTTGCTCTTCCTCATTCTGACCGCAAAAAAATCTACCTGCACCGTCACCTAGGTTAAAGAAACCCAGTCCTTGCACACAAAGGTTTTAGGGAGTGCTCTGTATTGGAAATCGTGTTTGTCCTTTGACACGCTTTTAAAGACAACTCCCCCCCCCGATGGTGTATATTTGAGATTATCTAGTACCCTTTCAAGGATTATCGGTGACTTTCAATATCGTTAGTTTGAGAAGGCTAGCAATCTCCTTGAGGTCATGAACATTTCATGAAAAATCCATTTTTCTGTTATGGCTTTTAACATTAGTAAACTCCACTTTTCCTTTTGATGGTAGGACTGATTATTCTGCTACTCAGTAGCCTCTTTTAGGACAGAAAATGACTTTGTTGTATTGACTCACTTGGAACTCAAGTAATTCTACTTGAGAGGGAGATTCTTTTCAACCACTTCCTTACAAGGACAACTTCATGTAAGTTTACTTGCTTTATTACAATTAAAATAAGAAACCATAGCAGATCTCAAAATAAGTCTCTCTTTCCAACTTAGCTGCCCTTATGATCCTGCTGCTCCTAAAGTCTACTTTCCAGTGGAGATATAGGTTATGCTATCCAGTGGAGATATGGGTTAAATAACCATTTTCGATACTGCTCCGCCTGCATTTTTCCTGATGATTTGATGCTGCTTGTTGTTTCCCATCTGCTGGGCTTCCTCCAGTTACAACTTGAATGCTAATGTGACTCCATCCCCCATTGGGAGCATGCTGATATTGACTCGTGCATCTCTGAGAAGCTTCTCATTGAGGTGGTGGATGCTCTGGGTTGCCAAGTCATCCTTTCTTGGTTTTAGCACCCTTCCACTCCAAAGGACCTGTTGAAAAAAGAAATGTCATGCACCTCATTTGTTCCAGTATGTTCCTTGGACCACGAAGGAAGCTTTGGAAAAGGTCCTGCATATTTTCTAGAAATTTATCTTATTTATTGTATTTCAGATTTCTAGTGGTCTCTGACATGGAGCTCTCATAAGCAAGTGGGATGGGAGTCCACAGAATTGGCTAATTGTACTTCTATTGCAAATTAGAAGCCAAAATAAAAAAAGATGTGATTAAACATAGGTATTTTTAAAAGCCCCTACTCAGCTGCCACCATAACCCTGAAGGTGCCTGAAGTTTAACATTGTTCTTTGTTTCTACTAAAAATTATTAATTGATAACTTAGTAATAGTTACTGATAACAAGTGCTACCTTTGGTCTTGCTTAAGTACTGTACGTAGTAGAAAATGCACTACAAGACAAATCAGAATAATACAGAGCATTCTTTGTAATGAATTACAAAAAAAGTTTCTGTTATCACAGGCTGTTTATGTACTAACACAAATTTAACACATTACTTCTATAGGATTTTATTCCTTGCTTATATTAGTGTTCCATACAGCTTACTTTAGCAATTTGCATTGAGTTTTAAAAGCCTCCTTTGTGTAACATGGAACAAACATGTTGCAATTGGCAACCGAGTTGCAGGTCAGAAATCACATTACTAGAATCCCACTGTGACTTTTTTCCTTTCCCAGAGGCAAAAGCAGTAACTCCCTGTGCTACTACCACTACAACTGCAGTACTTACATTATCAATAGCTATTATTCCCCCTTTCTTTATGAGGCGCAAACATTTTTCATAGTACTCATTGCAGCTTTCTTTATCCGCATCAATGAAAGCAAAGTCAAAGGTTTCTGCTTCTCCACTGGCCAACAGTTCATCTAGATGAGCAACAAAGTGAGTCATTACACCCTGGTTAATGCTTCCTCCTGGAAGTCGTCCATTTGTGTCAAAGTTCTTATTAAATAATGTTTTTGGTGCCTTGACCAGGCAGCCTATTCCTCTACAGCTGATTACTAGAAAAGCTTATCCCACAGAAACCAATCTAGACAGGATGTATGCCATAAAACACTCAGTTACTGAGTTCTGCCTACTTGGAAGTTCATGGAGTAGTTCTAAACCTGCAGGATACAGCTGGGACTGCTGAAAGGTGCAGTAAAAACAAGTCAAGCGGTTTGAAACTGGACACACTCTACACCTTCAGTTGTTTTTTGAGCTGACTGAGGAGAACTGTTCTCTTAAGTGGATTAGGATTTTTCTCACATTTACGAGCAGGTCCTAAATGCTAATCTCTCGTTGATGATCAAGTGCCATGATACAGGTCATGAACAAACCCTGTCAGAGATCTTTATCATAGCAAAAGACTGCTGCAAGTAGTCCCTCTCTGGGCCAAGGCCAGCGGAATTCAGTTTTAAGTTCTCCTAAATGGATTTATTGACTGAGAACTCCAAATCGCTAGTTGCGGAGGGGCTGACTGCTGCCTTCCTAAGGTTCTCAGCCACCCCTCTCACCTGCCCTTATCCTCTGCCAGCAGAGGATCTTTTTGTCTAAACCATTGCCTAGACAAAGCTGTCCATCAGACTTCAAGGACAGTGCATCCTAGCAGATGCTAATACTTGCCTCTTTAGAAAGGATGGATGAATTTGGAAGTAATACAAGGATATGGATGGATCTGTGGATCCATCGAACACCTTTGCTGGAAACCTTCTTCCGCTTCCTCCATCCCTAGCAAATTTCTTGCATTTTCAGAATATTTATTAATATTCCCTCTGCCCCACATCTTCTCTTTTCTTGAATGAGAAAAGTCATTGCCTTTCTAACGGCCTTGCATGCTTTTGGCACATCCTAAATTTGAACTCCTCTGGACACAATTCAACTGTTACACCCTAAGTTTTATATTGGTTTCTGTATTTTTTCTGCACCTCAGCGCTTTCAGAAAGCTCTTCCTGTCTATAACAAAGAAATACTTGCTTAGAATGGACAATGGATAAGAGAAATTGGGCTTTGTCTAATTAATCTGTTTTAATCAGCTTTCCCAGAAGCAGCTGACAATAGTACTTCATAGATTAAACAAGGCAACGGACAGGACAGGTGAGTGACCGGTACAGCCCACAACACAGGACAAGCATTTTCTTCCTCTCTGCTAGCATATAGGAAAACTGTGAACTTCTGAAGTTGTGAAGTTTTCTGTTTTGTTTTGGTTTTGTTTTTTTCTTTTTTTTTTTTTAAATATAAGAGAAGCTGTCTCACTGTTAGCAAAGGGATCACATCCACAGCATATTTGGTCTTAGATTTCATCAGCATTATATCAATCTTCTATTTCTAGGGAAGGGGAAAAAAAAGGTATTTTAGGTTTTTTACCAAGTGTTTGAATTGCTGGCTTAATCCGCAGGTCAATTTTATGCTCTACTCCTGCCTAGAATGAAAAAGAGCAATGAGTTCATGAAAGTGGTCAAGAAATAACCTGTTAGTAGGTTGCACTCAGGGAGTGACTGGTGTTCAGATATTTTTCCTATTACTTCTAGGTTCCAGACAGCACTTATTTGTCTTTCCAAATTGAACTGTCTCAGCCTCCTTTAATGATATGAATGCTTGTGTGTGAATGTGCAAGTCTAAGATACCAAAATCCCCTGACATGCAAATGCAGCTGTCCCAAACATGTAACAGAAGAGATGCTGCTTACCTCCTTCCACAGTGGCTTTCCAATTTTGACGTAGTCCTCATTTATATCACAGGCAATAACTCTGCCATTATCTGGCAGGACAAGTGCCATATTCAAGGTATTATAACCTGTGAAAACACCTAGGAAAATCATGAGAGTCATCAATACTTACCATATTGTGGAAAAAAAAGATAAATAGTGAACTACAGGGCTCCTTTCAGGAATAAAACCCCCAAACAAGTCAAGGATGGCAATTTGTTAATGGACACAAAAGGTTTTCCCCTCCATTTTAATGTAATGGTGGGTTGGGATGAATTTTTTTTTTTTTTTTTTTTTTTAAAAATCAATCTTTTAGCAAAGCTTAATGTTGGCTTTTTCCAAAAGTCTCCTGGACACACAGGGCAGAGTCTGGTCCTGCATCTCTGAGGAACACCCTTATTTAAAAGTGGAGCTAAATCCTGAGCCAAAGGGACTGGACCAGCAGCAAAATACCAGGGCATCATAACAGCCAGGCCAGGAATGAATATGGAGGGAACCTGTACATGGCTGCTCAGCATCAGTCTGGCTTTGGGACATCCTGCTAACATAGGTGCATCAAGGAAAGTGGATTGGATGCAGGGCCTGTGCAGCAAAATGTTTCCTTCTGGCAAGAAACTGGTACAGGAAGGAAAGAATACACCCTGTCCTGCAACTGCTGGAGACCCAAGTGTGATCTGTTGATCTTACTTTTTCAGATTGCCTCAGAGTTGACGAGACATCCCTGCTGATGCCAGAATTACTGAATGCACAAATAGACAAAGTGGCAAGTAAGTGCAAATCAGACACTACTTTTCTCACTGTAGTTTGCCCACCTGTTTGCTGAGACATGTATGCAGTGCCTTACTATGTTTAGTTATCTTATCTTATGTAAACATGGCTGTATTTGGAGAAGCACAGCCAGGAGCTTTATTCTACTACAGAGAGGACAAAGTGACACTCTTACCTATTTCAATAACTTTCTTGGCTTTAATGAGTTTGACCAAATTTGCCATAAGCTGAGCCTGGTCACAGGACACCATCATTTTACTCCAGGGATGATCAGCGGTGAGCTAGAAAGGGGAAAAAAATAACATGTCACAACAAAAAAACCCCAAAGCTTCCAAAACAGTATTCTAGGGAAAAAAACCCCAGAGAAACCCCAGGAAAAACAGATACTCCTACCATTCTCATTTTAGATGGCTTTGTGCTCCATCTATGAGCCAGGAATTGGTTTGAATTTAACAGTAACTAAGGAGGGCGGGGTGCGTGTCATAAGCAGTGGCTAATCATTCAAAGCAGTAATATGCCCCAAAGTTACCACATCTGTGGCAAACTCAGCAATACTTGTAACTGATGAAGAACCGTAGAGGAACCTTGACTGTGAAAGTCCTTTATTTCTGTGTATTTACATAAACATGCACTTTTTCTTTTTTTTTTTTTTTTTTTTGTAAATTTTAACCTTTGTACTCACGCCCTTATTCCTTCAAGACATGTAGGATGGTTTTATGAACTGCTAGGTGAAAGTCTGTTGTCAAAGGTCAGACCATGTGGTTCTGGCTACCCAGCGCAGAGCTGGAGGAGCTGTGCCCACGCCAGGGCGGGAGGGCCCTGGCACTGAGGAGGGGGCAGCAGGAGCAGCAGGGCTGCGCCGCGGCAGCTGAATGGAACGGACGGCCCTCCCGTTTCCTTTCTTCCTCTAGGGCTCATTCCAACCAGCCAGCTCCAGTACATTACATTTAATTGCTTTTATACAGGAGTAGTTTGTCTCACTTGAAATGACTCTGTCCCGAGTCTGGAGGTCAGTTCCGAGGCCGGCTGGAGGACACCACCTCTCTGAGCTACAGATTCCTTATATGCCAACTAAAATGAACAGAAGTAATCTGTTCAAGTCAAAATCAAGTGCAAACACATGGGCTTGGGAGCTGTGGATAAAAAGACATATCTAAAACATTCGGCAATTCTATTAAATACTCATTTAGGTAGCCCTGAACATTGAAGAGTCTGGGTATTACCAGTTAAAAACAAATTCTAATGTGTATGCAAGTAAGATGGAGGAAGGAATATCATAAAGAGTCCAGCAGTTCAGGACAGGGCGTGGGCAATACCGAAAGGTCCTAGTGGAAGAGTAACAGCACTGAACAGAAAACCTGCTTTGGGGGATAAAATACTGACCAGTCGCAGCTTCTTTAGAATTGGATGTTCCCGCAAAGAGTGATCCAGTATGTATTGCCAGAGAGGACTGCTTTTCCCGATGATACTCTTGGATGATTTGGGTGTCCCAAAAACTAAAGAAGGGTATCTTTTACCTACAAAAAGAAAATAAGGAATAAGAAGAACTTTTATCTTTTTCAGTTATTGCCTGCTTAAATAAAGCAAGCACTTAAGTATTACTAAAGGTGAAAGAGCTCTTTGCTTTGAAAAATCCAGTGAAAAAGGAAAATGCAACATAGGTGGATAGCTCAGTCTCAGTGGACTGTAATTTTTTTTCCCCTCCTTCTTTTTAACCTCTAAGATGCCCAGCCCAAGTCTGCAAAGGTTGAACGGGAAAGGCTTGGGTATTGTGTTGTTCAGTGGCCGCTGTGAAGGTTCCAAGCTGTCATATTCTTATAGGACAAGTAACCATATCAAAAACTCAAAGGGCAAGTGTAAGGAGAGAAGCATGAATTAGGCACACTATTTTCTTAGTCTGGGGACCTTGTTTTGCAGATGGATAGAGGGTGCTCGCCTTCAGGGCCATCAGCTGATGCATCTTCTCAAGCCCTGTGTTCTCCTAATGACAGTGTTCTGCCCTCTAGCCAGGGGAAATCTGGCATTGCTCAATGACTTGTTCAGCATGAAATCAGTGTGCAAGAAAAGTGGGTGCTTAAAGCTGAAGTCTAAGGACTATTGCTTGTCTACTTAAATACAGAACTGATCTCAGCTTTGATGCCCAATCCTTCTTTTACCAAATGGGGCAAATATTTTAAAGAAATAACAAAAAAAAATTCAGTTCCACATCTCCTAATAGCTGTTTGCTATTAAAGAACACTTTTATTTTGAGGTCTTTATTTTATTTTCTGTTAATGGCTCTATTTTACAGACGATCGCAGAGAGGTGTAGATGATTTCAGCACCTTGCCTGAAGTCAAAGGGTAAGTAAGCAAGCGGCTGCGTTACAAACCCAACACCAGACTCCTTCCCCAGCCTGATGGTGGGCCCGCACCCCCTCTGACCCCGGGGAATGGAAGCGAAGTTGTTGCCAGAAGAGCAAGCTGCGGCGTTTTCTGGCTGGCCAAATAAATGCAGGCAGGGGCCGGGCTGGGAGCGTGCCCTCGCCTTTGCTGGGACCTTGGCCC